TCTCCCTGTACCCCTTGTCTTAATCATTTGTTAGCAGAGGCCCCAGATCACTATAGTATCTTCCTATTTGTTCCTTGAGTCTGGTCTACTCTCTTCTGGCACGCAGTAACTAAGTACACATCTCCCAGAGAATCCTTCAATGGTGTCCCATACATTGCAAGATAAAGTCTGTCCCATGAAGTGCTTCCTGGTTTGGCTGGATCTTTCATCTTACCTCTTGCCATTCTGCCCACTATTTTCCACTCCTGCCCTTCTGCTTTAGCCAGAAGCAATTACTAGCCTTTGCCCTGCACCTGTTCTCCTGCATACACCCTCCTGTCTTTTCTCCTATTGGCCACCTTTCACTCATCAAGGCCAAATTACTTTCCCTACCTTCTCTGTCTAATGCCCCTTCCTATGTTCCAGTAGTATCCAGCCCAGATGATTAATTGTACATTTCCATCCTTCTTGATTTAGTTGCTTATCTTTTCCACCACACAGTAAGGAACTTAAAGGTTACAATGGTATCTTTGCTTTGATGTCCCTAACGGCCAGCCAAATGGTGTCACTCAATAAATATTGGGAATTCACTTAAATAACCAAACAAATAAATCACTATGCAAATGTGATTTAAAATTTTAGTCACTAGATATCTCATTGATTATACTATCTAGCTATATATTTTCCTAGAAACTGCTGATTACCTTGACCAATGTAGGGATGAAGTAGTGTTCAGGGTCAGGCAGAATGTTTTATATATGATAGACACCCAAAAGTATTTATTGAATGGACAAATGAATTTAAATCTTGATTAGTTTTTCTGTTTTTATGTATCCTGATTTAATGATCTTCATTCAAAAATACATTTTATAGTGTTTTCTAATTAAGATAATTAACATATAACAATATATAGTTTCAGTTGTACAACATGATTCAATGTTTGAAATACACTGTGATATGATCACCAAAAGTCTAATTACCACCCAATACCATATATAGTTACAAAATTCTCTTTTTCTTCTGATGAGAACTTAAGAATTACTCTTAGCAACTTTTAAATATACAGCACAATATTCTTAACTATAGTCACCATGATGTACATTACATCCCCATGACTTATTTATTTTGTAACTGGAAGATGTAGCTTTTGACTCCCTTTTCCCATTTCACCTGTACCTCACTTACTTTTCTCTGGCAACCACCACCAATCTGTTCTCTGTGTCTGTGAGCTTCTTTTTTCTGTGTTTTTGTCTTTGGTTCGGTTTGGTATGCTTCTTTGTTTTAGATTCCCACATGTAAGTAAAATCATATGGCATTTGTCTTTCTCTGTCTGACTTATTTCACTTACTATAATGCCCTCAGGGTCTAGCCATGTTGTTACACATGGCAAGATTCCATTCTTTTTTATGGCTGACTAGTGTTCCATTTTAGTTTATTTTTAATTTTTGAAAATTTGTTTAGAGAAGTCTCCTTTTATGTTATTCAGCCATAAAAATAAAACAAATCCTACCATTTGCAACAACATGGATGGAGCTAGAGGGCATTACACTCAATGAAATAATCCAGGAGGAGAAAGACAAATATCAAATGATTTTGCTCATTTGTGGAGTATAACAACAAAGCAAAACAGAAAGAACAAAACAGTCGCAGACTCCTGAAGGAAAGGGGTGGGGAGGGTGGGGCAGAGGGAGGGAGAAGGGGATTGAGGGGCATTATGATTGGTGCACAAAATAGAGGTAGGTCACAGGGAAGGTAGTATAGCACAGAGAAGACAAGTAACGACTCTGCAGCATCTTACTATGCTGACAGACAGTGACTGCAGTGGGTGGGGAGTACCTGACAACATGGGTGAATGTTGAAACTACAATGTTGCTCATGTGAAACCTTCATAAGATTGTATATCAATGATACCTTAATTTTTAAAAACTATAACCAAGGCAGTATAAAAATAAATAAATAAGCAGATCTCCATTTCCTCACATGCATATAGACAACACTGAACATAATTATGTCATTGACATTAAAACATTATTTTTTTGTCTATGGTCATTGCATTTTAAAATTATTTTCATGTTGTTCATGTGGACTCAAAACAATATCCTCAACTATCAAAAATTATTTACCTGTTCCCCAAAAGTCAGTAGTTTGCTCCTTGTCTCTATCCATTTTAACTATAAGATTACATTGATTCTTCCCTTACTTCTTTTCTTCTCTGAGAGACTAACTTCCACATCTCTAACATCATTTTACATATTTGCATCACTGCTTTTGTGACTTTTTTTCCCTAGACTGCAGGATAATGTGGAGTTTGATCTCTAACATCATTTTACATATTTGCATCACTGCTTTTGTGACTTTTTTTCCCTAGACTGCAGGATAATGTGGAGTTTGGATATTTCCACCCATTTCTTAGTTATTTACCAGAAGCAGTCATAGAGTTGCAGCATCTCCTATTAAGTCTTGATTTGCACCTTGAATATAAGCAGCTGAGGACGTATGGAGTGGAGGGAATGCATTTGTTTCCCTCTAGTTTGTTCAGAGAGATAATTTACTGTGCTAGAGACTTACTAAAATGCCCTCTTGAGGTACCATGTTATGGAGATGATGCACAGTAAGCTTCTTTTGCTCCTTCCTGCCTTAGCTCTCCTCATTAAGTAGTGTTGCAGTGAGAGTGCCATGTGGCATGTAAGGTCAGTCAGAGTCAAACTGGACCAAGAAAGAAGAGCATAAAAGTGATCACTTACTTACATAGCATGTTTGCTGTCCCACTGGCTGCAGTTAAACTTAATTCCAACTTGGCCTGCACCAGAAAGGCAAGCCGTACGTGTGAGTCCTCCCAGGAGTTCGATCTCTTTTGAGTGCAGGTGAGAGAAGGATTCAATAATTACACCAGTTCTGGAGATAGGGGGATAAAACTGTGTAATGATGTCACCAAGGACAGGGTCTCTGTGTCCCTTAGCTCACCTGCAGAAATCTGAGAGGTCCCAGAGGACAGGGTTTGAAAACAGATGGCTGAAAGTTTGTCCGTGATGTAAGGTAGAAGGTGAGCTCTAGATATTAAGAAGAGTTGAGGGTTTAGAAGCTTATAAGAACAAAAGTAACTTAAGAGGGGAAATGGACTCAGTTTGCATGTGTACAATTACGTCCAATAAAAAAATGTCTTTCAATTTAGCGCACCGGCAAACCCACTTGATGACACACCCTTTGCTGCCCCAGTTCCCACCCTGGTAGCACCAACCCCCTCAGTTTCACGTTGTCACACAGTATCTGGAAACAGCTCTTTTGTCCACCATCTCTCTCCACGTTCACGCCTTCATCCGTCCAACCTCCTTAACCGAAACCTTTCACCAAAAACTGTTACTCACAGTACTGCTCTGATAAGAAGGAGGTTTCCTTTGGGATTTGAGATCACAGCCTAACTGGCTCACTGGCTTACACACAGCGCCCTTTCCAAGGTTCCCATAACTCGTTCTTACTCCATTCTCATGGAACATTCAAGTCTTCTCCCTGCCCCAAGGCAGGATCTGGGTTTCCTAGACAGCTTCTGCCCTAGATTTGTTGGAAACAGCATCTCCAATCACCAGAAGCTGAGCTTATCAAGGGTATCGTCATCCCACGCCCTTCAAGTAAACAAAGAATATCTTGGTCATCTGTCGTCTTACCAAGTGTTGCATGCGTGTTGTATTGCGAATGCAGTTGACGTCAATGTTGCTCTCAGGAGATCATCTTAGCATGTATTCAGATGATAGCTGTTTTCAGTTTCAGCTCCAATAATTCTAGTCCTGAGAAGTTCCTATTTCACCTTTCCTCTTCCACTGGCTCTAGGTGAAGGATTACATCTGGTACAGAACCCCCAGCATGTTTTCAGAAACCTCAATATTTAAAGAATGGCCTTACAGAGAGTGTTTTACTCACTGATTAGTTTTTACATGAAAACTGAATTAGGGATTTTATGTTCACATTTTAATTTGAAAATCTATCTTTCTTAACCATACATTGATTTTACCTAATTTTTCTTTCCTTTTGACTAATTTATATGTCCATGTTTATGGAACCTAGAAATAAATCAAATATTTAAACTCAAAACTATTTTGTGAAATGTTATACACTAAATTTATAGGAATTGCAGGACATGTATTTTTAATGTTCAAGTTGAATAATGAAATCCTACCTGTGTGTATGAAAGCCTGACCCCTTTTCCTGAGCTGATACTGGGTGATTTTAGAGCCTGAGTGTGCAATGAATTTCAAAAACGGAAAATTTTAATGTCTTTCCTGAAAGTTCTTACCAACTATAACATGCCATTGGGATGAATATGTGAAAGACATGGGTGGGAAATAATTTAATAGTCTTCCAGAGGTATCCAGTGATTATAATGAGTAAGTTACATGCATGGACTCCTCAGTGTTTGTATCACTGGGGGAAAATACCACATTGTACCTCACATTGCTTCTCTAATCTGCTTCCCGGCAGTGAGTGGTTTAGGCGTAGGACAAATGAGTATTAAAAGTGCTCTATTAATCATTTTTAATGGTAATTTATGTTAGCTCATTTTGTGTCAATAATCAAAATTTAATTTTAAGAACACAAACTTGGAAAAACAGAATATTCCTTTTATCACAAAGTAGAAGAATAAAAATACCCTAACTGATTTGAGTTTTAATTTTCATTAAAATTATAATAGGTAAAAATTCAGGATAGAATTTAAGGAGAATTTAAGGAGAATCCCATTCTAACCTACATATATGACCTGCAACATGTAAAAACATTCATATCTAAGAATGAAAGTCATGTAAATTAGCATTTTTAAATTATCAAATTAGCATATTGCCTAGTCATTCATTTTCCTTTAAAAGACAAAAAAAGACATTTTATATGTGTAATTTTATCACAAATTCTATCAATTATTTTCTGAACTGAAAATTAAAGTTTAGTTAAATATATGGTAAAAGGTGCATACCACAATACTAGGACTACAGCTTGCACATTTATCATAGTCTTTTTTCTTGTTAATTTCAAAGGGAATTTAAGGCCATCATGGTGCAAAAGGAGAGGTATGTTTTTCATGTATTGTGCTCCTCTGTTCAGTCTTTATTGTTTGGATTTCAAACACTGTGTAAATCTAGCTATTGACATCAGAAACAGAAAATGTCTTCCATGTTCATCAAGAGTCCTAAATAGTGATTTTCAGAATATATATTCATTGAATTAGGTATGAAATATTGTGTATTTGCCTGTATTATTGGTTCTTCTTCTGGATTAAGAGCTAAATTTTTCTGCATATTTGTCAATGACGAATGTTATGTTTTTGTATTTGTCTCCCTAGAATTTAAACTCCTTGGGAATGGACTGTGTTGCATCATCGTATCGGTGGCTCTATACATATTGCCTACATATTATGCTCAAAAGATGCAGTGAATATTTATAGGGTTGAGTGGAAGGGTGGCTGGATGAATGGGTAAATGATAGTTTAATATGATATTGAATTTCCCTCCTGATCAATAACAGCATTTCCCAGTTGTTTCCTATATAGCTTGGGTGTGCATCCGTGTGTGTGTGTATTCATCCATTTCCTTAAGGACTTTTATGATGGAGTTGTATCTTCTGGAATATTTAAATAGAAATTTTGAAGATTTCTTTTGTTTTTAGAGAGGTGAAAAGGGAGATCCTGGTGTCAGAGGTGCCATCGGACCGAAAGGAGAATCTAGGGTGGGTGGGCTGATGGGGCCTTTGGGTCCTCAAGGACAACCTGGGGAAATGGTGCCTGAGGGACCACCAGGACTGAACAGGAAGCCTGTATGTATGCTGCTTCTTTTGTAGTTTTCATATTTGCATGACTTTTTACTTCGTATGTGCATCTTATAAACCCTAACTATTTAATGCAGGGGAGAGAGTTTTCAGAACAGTTTATTCAACAAGTTTGCACTGATGTATTAAGCAGTAAGTCTCAAACAGATTTCTAATAACATTTTCCTAATTACAAAAGTAATACAAATACTTGGGAGAAATTATAAAAGATACAAGTAAGATAAAGAAGAAAATGAAGCACATTTATAAATACTGTTTTATTCTAGCTGAGTATTTTTATAAAAATGACATATAGGCACCCTTTTGTAATCTTTTATATAAAACACATTATTATTTCATCATTCAGTAAATTTTTTTTCCTGACATAATTCTGATAATATAATCAATGAATATGGATGTCTATAATTTAATTTACCAATTTGTTTTATGGGGAACAATTTCACTTTTCCACCTATTCTAAGCAATTGCTACAGTGATGTCATCATACAGAGCAGTGAGTATTTCCATAGTGAAATTCCTAGAAGTGAAATTTTTGGTGAAGATCCATAGTTTTACAAACTATTGGAGCTAATAGCTATGCACCATTTAATCCTAAGGGGTTTCTTTGTTTTTAAGACCAATTACCAGTCTTACTTCAGAGTGGAAGAATTCAAAACTGTGATCATTGCCAGTCCCAACACAGTTCCCCTGGAATTCCTGGGCCCCCTAGTCCCATGGGCCCCAAAGTTCCCCGAGGATTTCCTGGCTTGCCAGGAAGAGATGGTGTTCCTGGGTTAATGGGTGCTCCTGGACGCCCAGGTGTCAAAGGATTAAAAGGTACATAATTTGTGTACACAAGAAGATAAACAACAAGAAAGAGTATTTTTGGTACTTATAACCTAAATTGATTTAAAAGGCAAGAGTTCCTCATTGCTTTTATGTTGACAAAAGATTTTTGTATCCCTAAATCTTTAATTTGTCTACTGAGTTAAAGAGCAGTTACTCTACTTTCTTGAAGTAATATTCTAGAGACAGAAACATCAAAGTTATGAAGTGTATGAAATTACAAATTAAAAAATGTCGATTGATGGGGTGGAGCCAAGATGGCGGCTTGAGTAGAGCAGCAGAAATCTCCTGCCAAAAACATATATATTTTTGAAAATACAACAAATACAACTATTCCTAAAAGAGAGACCAGAAGACACAAGACAACAGCCAGACTAAATCCACACCTGCAAGAACCCAGCGCCTCACTAAGGGGGTAAGATACAAGCCACAGCCCAGTGGGACCCGAGCACCCCTCACCCCAGCTCTTGGCAGGAGGAGATAATTTGGAGTAGGGAGGGAGAGGGATCCCAGGACTGCTAAACAGCCAGCACTAGCCATCCACACCAGAGCACAGACACACAGTGCATGCGTGGGGTGCTGAAAACTAGGGAACAGAACAGTAAGACACATGAGTGTGTCCCAGCAGCCAGCGCCCCTGGGACAAAGAAAAGCGAGTGCTTTTTGAAAGTCTTAAAGGGACAGGGACTCCACAGCTGGACGAATGCATCCCTGGACACTTAGCCCAACAGCTGGGTATCCCAGGGAACACCAGGTGCCCTACCTCCCTGGGCAGCAGCACAGCTAAGAGGCCCCTCACAGTGATAAAGAGCTCCTACCTGTCTCCCCTCTGATGTGGCTCCGCCATATTGGAGCAGCAGACTGATGCCAGCCATGCCCATAGCAACTGTGGAGCTTAACTCCACAGCAATTGCAGAGCTTAACTGCACAGCAGCCAGGCAAGAATCAGAAGCCCCATCTGTGTGCAGCTGCCCAGTGCAAGCCAAGAGAGGACGCTGTTCTGCCAGGATAGGAAGGCCACAAACCAGCAAGAAGAGATGTTCTCCCAGGCGACACACAGCATGAGGCCCACACAACCACCTCTATTGCCATGAAAAGGCAAAAGAATTTGATACAGAACAAAATCACAGAGTCAACCACTCAGAAGGAAATGGACCTAACCAATCTTCCTAAAAAAGAATTCAAAACAAAGGTCATAACCATGCTGATGGAGGTGTAGAGAAATATACAAGACCAAAGGGATGACATCCACAGGGAGATTACAGAAATGAAACAATCTCTGAAAGGATTTATAAGCAAAATGGATAAGATGCAAGTGACCAATGATGGAATAGAAACCAACCAGAGAACAGGAATGCACAGAAGCTGATGCAGAGAGAGATAAAGGATCTCAAGGAATGAAACAATATTAAGGGAACTGTGTGACCAATCCAAAAGGAACAATATCCACATTATATGGGTACCAGAAGAAGAAGAGAGAGAAAAGGGGATAGAAAGTGTCTTTGAAGAAATAATGACTGAAAACTTCCCCAAACTGGGGGAGGAAATAATTGATCAGACCACAGAAGTACACAGAACTCCCAACAGAAGGAACCCAAGGAGGACAACATGAAGACACGTAATAATTAAAATGGCAAAAATCAAGGACAAGGACAGAGTTTTCAAGGGAGACACAGAGAGAAAAAAGGTCACCTACAAAGGAAAACCCATCAGGCTATCACCAGACTTCTCAACAAAAACATTACAGGCCAGAAGAGAATGGCATGATATATTTAATGCAATTAAACAGAAGGGACTTGAACCAGGAATACTGTATCCAACACAATTATCATTTAAATATGAGAGAGGGATTAAACAATTCCCAGACAAGCAAAAGTTGAGGGAATTTGCCTCCCACAAACAACCTCTACAGGGTATTTTAGAGGAACTGCTCTAGATGGGAGAACTCCTAAAAAGAGCACAGAACAAAACACCCAACATTTGAAGAATGGAGGAGGAGGAATAAGAAGGGAGAGAAATAAAGAATCATTAGACAGTGTTTATAATAGCTCAATAAGTGAGTTAAGTTAGACAGTAAAATAGTAAAGAAGCTAACCTTGAACCTTTGATAACCACGAATCTAAAGCCGGCAATGGTAATAAGTACATATCTTTCAAGAATCACCCTAAATGTAAATTTGCTGAATGTACCAATCAAAAGACACAGAGTAAAAGAATGGATAAAAAAGCAAGACCCATCTATACTCTGCTTACAAGAGACTCATCTCAAACCCAAAGACATACACAGATGAAAAGTCAAAGGATGGAAAAAGATATCTAATGCAAACAACATGGAGAAAAAAGCAGGTGTTACAGTACTAGTATCAGACAAAATAGACTTCAAAACAAAGAAATTAACAAGAGATAAAGAAGGACATTACATAATGATAAAGGGCTCAGTCCAACAAGAGGATATAACCATTATAAATATATATGCACCCAACACAGGAACACCAGCATATGTGAAACAAATACTAACAGAATTAAAGGAGGAAATAGAATGCAATACATTCACTTTAGGAGACTTCAACATGACACTCACTCCAAAGGATAGATACACTGTACAGAAAATAAATAAAGACACAGAAGCACTGAATAATACACTAGAAGAGATGGACCTAATAGACATCTGTAGAACTCTACATCCAAAAGCAAAAGGATACACATTATTCTCAAGTGCACATGGAATATTCTTCAGAAAAGAACACATGCTAGGCCACAAAAAAAGCTTTAGCAATTTCCAAAAGATTGAAATGTACCAACCAACTTTTCAGACCACTAAGGTATAAAACTAGAAATAAATTGTACAAAGAAAAAAAAAAGGCTCACAAACACATGGAGGTTTAACAACATGCTCCTAAATAATCAATGGATCAACAAACAAATTAAAATGGAGATCAAGAAATATATGGAAAGAAATGACAACAACAACACAAAGCCCATCTTCTCTGGGAAGCAGTGAAAGCAGTCTTAAGAGGAAAGTATATAGCAAACCAGGCATATTTAAAGAAAGAAGAACAATCCCAAGTGAATAGTGTAAAGTCACAATTATTGAAACTGGAAAAAGAAAAACAAATGAGGTATAAAGTCAGCAGAAGTGGGACATAATAAAGATCAGAGAAGAAATAAATAAAATTGAGAAGAATAAAACAAGAGAAAAAAGCAATGAAACCAAGAGCTGGATCTTTGAAAAAATAAACAAAATAGATAAGCCTCTAGCCAAACTTATTAAGAGAAAAAGAGAATCAAAACACATCAACAGAATCAGGAATGAGAAAGGAAAACTCATGACAGACACCACAGAAATACAAAGAATTATTAGAGAGTACTATGAAAACCTATATGCTAACACACTGAAAAACCTAGAAGAAATGGACAACTTCCTAGAAAAATACAACCTTCCACAACTGACCAAGAAAGAAACACAAAATTTAATCCAACCAATTATGAGCAAAGAAATTGAAGCAGTAATCAAAAAACTACCAAAGAAAAAAAAAACCCAGGCCAGATGGATTTACCTCGGAATTTTATCAGACATTTGGAGAAGACATAATACGCATTCTCCTTAAACTTTTCCAAAAAATAGAAGAGGAGGGAATACTCCCAAACTCATTCTATGAAGCCAACATCACCCTAATACCAAAACCAGGAAAAGACCCCACCAAAAAAGAAAATTACAGACCAATGACCCTGATGAAAGTAGATGCAAAAGTACTCAACAAGATATTAACAAACTGAATTCAAAAATATGTCAAAAGGATCATACAGCATGACCAAGTGGGATTCATCCCAGGGATGCAAGGATGGTACAGCATTCGAAAATCCATCAACATCATCCACCACATCAACAAAAGGAAGGACAAAACCACATGATCATCTCCATAGATGTTGAAAAAGTATTTGACAAAATTCAACATCCATTCATGATAAATCTCTCAACAAAATGGGCATAGAGGGCAAGTACCTCAACATAATAAAGGCCATATATGATAAACCAGCAGCTTACATCATACTGAACAGTGAGAGGCTGAAAGCTTCCCTCTGAGATCGGGAACAAGACAGGGATACCCACTCTCCCCACTGTTATTCAACAGAGTACTGGAGGTCCGAGCCATGGCAATTACACAAAACAAAGAAATACAAGAAATCCAGATTGGTAAAGAAGAAGTTAAACTGTCACTATTTGCAGATGACATGATATTGTATGTAAAAAAAACCCTGAAGACTCCACTGCAAAACTACTAGAACTAATATCGGAATTCAGGAAAGTTGCAGGATACAAATTAACACAGAGAAATCTGTGGCTTTCCTATACACTAACAATGAACTAATAGAAAGAGAAATCAGGAGAACAAATCCATTCACAACAGCATCAGAAAGAATAAAACACCTAGGAATAAACCTAATCAAGGAAGTGAAAGACCTATACCCTGAAAACTACAGGACTCTCTTAAGAGAAATTAAAAAGGACACTAACAAATGGAAATATCCCATGCTCCTGGCTACGAAAAATTAATATTGTCAAAATGGCCATCTTGCCCAAAGCAATATACAGATTTGATGCAATCCCTATCAAACTATCAACAGCATTTTTCAATGAACTGGAACAAATAGTTCAAAAATTCCACCAAAGACCCTGAATAGCCAAAGCAATCCTGAGAAGGAAGAATAAAATGGGGGGTGGAGGGGGATCTTGCTCCCCAACTGAAAGCTCTACTACAAAGCCACAGTAATCAAGACAATTCAGTACTGGCACAAGAACAGAGCCACAGACCAGTAGAACAGAATAGAGACTCCAAACATTAACCCAAACATATATGGTCAATTAATATATGATAAGGGAGCCATGGACATACAATGGGGAAATAACAGTCTCTTCAACAGATGGTGCTGGTAAAACTGGACAGCTACATGTAAGAGAATGAAACTGGATCACTGTCAAACCCCATACACAAAAGTAA